GGCGGACTGCAGTCTGTACTGACGCTACCACATGTGCGGTTCTGGCCACGTTCACCAGGGAGCCCCGCTCCGGTCTCTACGTTCTCCACACCGAGCGCTTCCCGGTCGCGTCCTCCCCTCATGTCGTTGCGTCCCCTCCGGCCCAGGTCTCCAGTCCTGTCGCTGTGTCCAGTCCAGTCGCCGCGTCTTGCTCCTGTCGCTCTCTCGCCCACCGCACCGTCCTGTGGCACCACCGTCTTGGCCACCCGTCGATCCCTCGCCTTCGTGGCATGCTCAGTCAGGGACTCGTCACAGGTCTCCCACGCACCTTCCCGTCGCTCCCTCTCTCGCTTGCCCCTCCTTGCTCTCCTTGCGTCGCTGGTCGCTTACGCGCCACTCCCCACTCCTCCTCCCTTCGTCCGGCCACCGCTCCCTTCGAGACTCTCCACTTGGACGTCTGGGGCCCTGCCCCGACGCAGGGGTCTGGGAGGGAGCGTTACTTTCTGGTGGTCGTCGACGACTTCTCCAGGTACACCACAGTGTTCCCTCTTGCGAAGAAGTCTGAGGTGACTGCTACGCTGATCAGGTGGCTTCTAGCCACTAAGGGCACTCGAGGTCGTCGAGTCAGTTGTCTCCACTCCGACCGTGGGGGCGAGTTTCGCTCTGGCATTCTCGGCGGAATTTGCGGCGAACAGGGCATCACCCAGTCCTGGACGCTGCGTGAGTCCCCACAGTAGAATGGGGTTGCTGAGCGCCGCATAGGCTTGGTCATGGACATCGCCCGCACGTCCATGATCCATGCCCGTGCGCCCCATTTTCTGTGGCCCCACGCGGTTCGCTACGCCGCACACCAGCTGAACCTCCAACCGCGTGTCTCGCGGCCCGAGGCTTCACCGACCAGTCTTTGGACTGGTTCCCTTGGTGTCGGGTCGGCCTTTCGAGTCTGGGGCTGCCTTGCGCTTGTTCGCGACACCTCTGCGGACAAGCTCTCGGCACGCGCCGTCCCCTGCGTCTTCCTTGGTTTCCTAGTGGACTCTGCCGACTGGTCTTTTTACCACCCTCCCCTCCACCAGTTCCTAGACTCCCGTGACGTCCGGTTTGACGAGTCCGTGTCCTACTACACCCGGTACCCCTGTCGAGGTCTCCTGGTACCCTTTCCCCCTCTTTTCCTCGCACCCTCTCCTCCTCCTACTCCCGCTCCTCCGGTACCCCCGCCCCCCCCTAGTCCTGCCCCGTCTGGTGTGTCCCACGCTACCCCTCTCCCCTCGGTCGCGCGTCAGGTAGTGTCTCCCTCCCCGCAGTCCTCCTCACAGTCCCCTCAGCAGCCTTCGGCACTTCCCGACAGGTTACTGTGGACTCTGTTGGTGTTGGAGCTGGAGGTGCAGCCGCGGGGTACTGGAGCTGGAGGTGCTGGCGCAGGTGGCGCTAGCTCTGGGGGTGCTGGAGCTGGGGGTGCTGGCACTGGCGGTGCTAGTTCTGGGGGTGCTGGAGTTGGAGGTCCTGGCACTGGCGGTGCTGGTCCTGGGGGTGCTGAGTCTGAGGAGGTTGGAGCTGGAGACCCTGGTTCTGCGGAGTCCACTCCGCCTCCCCACCGCCACGACACGCGTCTCCAGGCTGCCCGTCGGCGTGAGCGTGAAGAGCAGGAGCGGTTGGAGAGGGAGCGGCAGGAGCTGCGGGTGCTGGACCTTCTGGAGCAGCAGCAGGAGCAGCAGCGGCAGCAGCAGCAGCCGCAGCAGCAGCAGCAGCCGCAGCCGCCGCCGCAGCCGCAGCAACGGCAGCCGCAGCCGCCCCCACAGCTTCCTCTAGAGCGGCAGTTGTTCCCACCTGTGAGTGGCTTGCGGGCCCTTGGCCTTTCCTCCTCTTCTTCTGTCCGCTCCCCGTCTCCTCCCTTGTTTGTTCCTCCGTTGCCTCCTCCTGACGACCGTCCGGCGGTCTGGTCTTCTCCTCCTCCTCAGTCTCCTCCTCCTTCTGTCCGTCGCGACTTGATCACCCGTTGTCCTCCGCGTGCTCGTCACTCGTCCCCTGTTACTTACCTCCACACTGCCCTCCTTTGTTCGTTTCGTCGTCGTTCTCCTTCTCCTGTGTCCGTTCTCCCGTCTCCTCCTCCGTCCTCTGTCACAGCCCCCCCCGCCCCTATCTCTGACTACTACCGCGCTGTTCGTCCTATTGCCGCACGTGTCCTCGCCACTCTTGTCACCGACTCTCGTTTCCCTCCGTCGTCTGCCTCGACTCTCACTGCCACTGTCGCTGAGTTTGCTGCCGCCAGTCGCCTTGACTACGCCACCCGTGTGGCGCCAGCTCCTCCCTACCGTCCTCTGTCCGTCGGGGGTGGGTTTGCCCTTGGCTGTGACGTCCTAGAGGACAGAGAGTCTGAGCTGGAGTACTGGGCAGCCGCTTCTCCATCTGTGTGTGCCATGCTACTCTCCCCTGAGGGAGACCCCGACGCCCTTGACATACCGACTCCTCGCACTTATCGCGAGGCAGTGTCAGGGGCGTGGGCCTCTCAGTGGAAAGCGGCTATGGACTCAGAGTTGGCATCTTGGAGGTCCACAGGCACCTACGTCGACGCAGTTCCCCCTCCCAGGGCGAACGTAGTCGATGGCATGTGGCTCTTCAAGGTGAAGTGGCCGCCTGGAGCACCGCCGGTGTTCAAGGCGCGCTACGTGGCTAGGGGCTTCAGTCAGCGTGAGGGAGTTGACTTCTTCCAGACCTTCGCCCCGACCCCGAAGATGACTACTCTTCGGGTGTTACTCCACATAGCAGCGCAGCGAGACTACGAGCTGCACTCCCTCGACTTCTCCACTGCGTTCCTCCAGGGCCGACTGCACGAGGAGATCTGGCTGCGCCGTCCTCCTGGCTTCACTGACACCTTCCCACCTGGGACCCAGTGGAGCCTGAGGCGACCAGTCTACGGTCTTCGCCAGTCGCCCCGTGAGTGGCACGACACTCTTCGCTCCACGCTTCATGACCTTGGGTTCAGCCCGTCCTCCGCCGACCCGTCGCTGTTTGTTCGAGCGGGTTCTACTCCTTTCTTTATCCTTGTCTACATCGACGACTTGGTGTTTGCCACAGCAGATAGGGCAGCCCTAGCTCAGGTGAAGTCCAAACTGCAGAAGAGACACAAGTGCACTGACCTGGGTGAGCTGCAGCGTTACCTTGGCTTGCAGATCACCCGGGACAGAGCCGCTCGCACCATCACACTGACGCAGTCACACATGGTGCAGCAGGTCCTTCAGCGGTTCGACTTCCAGTTCTCCACCATACAGCCCACTCCTCTTGCTGTTGACCACAGACTCACGGGCCCCTTTCCTGACGAGCCCTTTGAGTCCAGTGGACCCTACGCAGAGCTGGTGGGCTGCCTCATGTACCTGATGACTTGTACTCGACCGGACCTCGCCTTTCCCCTCAGCATCCTTTCTCGCTTTGTTGCGACTGGGAGACACCGTCTTGTCCACTGGACAGCTGCTGTGAGGGTGGCAAAGTACCTGGCGACTACATCAGGCATGGGGCTTGTGCTTGGAGGGACTCAGCCAGTGGTGTTGACTGGTCACTGTGACTCTTCCTACGCTGACGACGTGGAGACTCAGCGCTCGACTCAGGGTTTCTGCTTCAGTCTGGGAGCTGGTGCTGTGTCGTGGAGGTCTACACGGTCTTCGTCTATGGCTACTTGTAGTGCAGAGGCAGAGATCTACGCGGGTGCCATGGCGGCACAGGAGCTTCGCTGGTTGACCTTCTTGCTCGCAGTCCTTGGTGAGCGGCCTCGCTCTGCTCCGACCTTGTACGCTGACAACAAGGCCATGATCCTCCTGTGTCGAGAGCCTCGACTGGAGAGCAGAGTGAAGCATATTGACGTGAGGTACTTCCTCCTGCGAGAGCTGCAGCGACGCGGTCAGGCACGCCTGGACTTTGTGGCCTCAGAGGCCAACACTGCAGACGTCTTCACCAAGGCCTTGGCGCTTGGTGATCACCACAGGTTGTGTGTGCAGTTGGGGCTTGTTGAGGTAGGCCCTCGGTTACTGTAGTGCTGCTGCTTGCTCTGCTCGTTGTGCCTTGTATTTATATCCTAGTGAACTCGTGAACTGGCCTTGTGGCCGCTTGCTTGCGCTCGGAATTTGTGTGGTGTCCTTGAGATCCTCCCTGAGCTTGCCTTGTTTCTTGCTTTGACTGGTCTTGTGACCGTTTGTTCACCTTGCTTGCTTTGATGCCCCTCACTTAGCCTATGGGGGTGTGTCAAATGTTGCACATTAATCTGATAGGCCGTAGTGAGTTGCACTCTAGGGGGGTACAGCTTCTAGGGTTGCTTATTTGTACCCCATTCGTTTCTATTCCATACATTCCGTTGCATTCCTATTCTGAGACGGAGCGCGGGTTACCCGCCGAGCCGTCAGGTCGGGGTGCGATGTGCGAAGGTGGCGGGCGGATTGTCGATGCGAGGGTTGCGAGTGGTAACGGTGCTGACTGTGGTGCTACGGTGATGTATGCGTTGAGCAGGGATGCGAAGTAAGGAAAGGGAATTTTCCTTACAATGACTTGTGCTGTTGGAAACAATTAAGCCTAAGCGCCTCTGTCGTATCGAAACACCAAGGCACAAGCGAAGCAAAGCATATCGAGGCACCAGCGAGTCAACCCTCGGAGGTTGAAGTAACTGCTGGAGGTTACGCGAAAGTCAAAGGTCAGCGACCTTTGACCTGACAAGTACAGCGCGACAGCAAGGACACACAACTGACTCGCTACAGAGCAGTTGCCCGAGTCGTCACTGTATCGAACCGCAACAGCAACATTAAAGTAGTTCTAACCGTATCTCTTCATATTCCTTGTACTCTTATATAATCCAGTGTCTCTTTGCTTTAATCAACTTACTTTGCCCTCACAGCGCAAGGTGGTTCACAACTCTTCATTAAACGCTTCTGCTACTACATCAGTCCTACCCAGAGTTCACCCCTGCAAAGATCTTAAGGGCTTTTCTCAGCCCAACATGTGCAACATGAAGCTTGTGGTTAGCAACATAAATAATTTAACATTCAGGATGGACATAGGCACTCTTCTGGGTTTGCAAAGAAGTTGCTTGTTGCTGACCTCCCGTGGTAAATAAAGCGGTCCTCATGGACAACTCTGACGAGCTCAAGCAGATCACGCTCCTTGGACATGTGGTGGCATGCGTATAAGGATGCCAGTTTCTTCAAGTCGGGTTGTGCACTCCTCCGGCCATAGTAAAGCCTGCGCTTTCCACAAGTCAGAAGGATCACTGCAACAGAAGGCAGCGGCAAAATCAGTGAGCATACACATCACCTGTGCCCAATAACAAAATTTGGAAAATTTCCCGTCGCGGTTGAAATGAAGATGCCACTTTCACTGGAGACTATGTAATCAATAGCTGCTAGTGCAGATGCCCTCCCCTCCAACGGACCAAGTTCTTCCTGCATATACAATGTCAATAGAGGTGATCACAACAATAGCGCGGACACTGGTGGCGTGGTGTGCCTTGTTAGTACTCTTACATGTGTCAGAATGTCCCGTTTGGTCAGAGCCTTTGGAAACTTGGATCGCAGAGAATGAAGGCTATAATTACCACCAAAAAGTTGTCCCTCTAACGTGGCGACGTAGATGGCTGAGCCTTTGCGAACTCCCATTGCTTGCATAAACATGCCCGTCTCGAAGGCACTCATCGGACACTGACCAAGTACTCGTTGGCTAGCAGGATTTAGTGCTTCACGAAGCTTCCTTGTTGCTCTGTCCCAGTGCTCTACTCGGTACTCCTGCCAACAATAGATGAGACCTCAGCAAGGAGAAAGATGATAGACTGGGTTTAGGACAATAGTTCCATACCTCTAAAGCCAGCTTCTCCTTCTCACCACCTCCGAATTCACACATTGAATAGGCAACAGCATCAGTCTCGAACCTCCAGTGCAATGACACGAAGTTGGATGCCATCTTCTTCATTCTCCTTATGACCTTCTTTCCGAGTACAAGGATGGAATTCACGAATCTGAGGCCCTGTTTGGAAATAGCATGTTACAGGCGCACCTTTTTGAAGCCAGTACAGGAACAGAACAATGAGCGCACCTCATAGTTGACCTTGCACCGAAAAAGCTGCCACGGTTCCGGAAGAACGTTCCCAAGGCGTCGGGCGAAGGGACTTAGTAGAACAATGCTGCTGTTTTGGGCTGAAGGCTTAACGTTCTCCACGTACCTGTGCTCATGAGAAATTACACAAATGCTGGCAAAGGCACACAACAAATCTTACACCTTACCAATCCAGCGTTGCCAGAACATCTTCAGGCGGTCTAAATTCATGAATGGGAAGTTGTTTTGCCTCTTCAGGGATGGTTGTAACCACTTTGACGAAGCCTTTCAGCACCGACTCAAAATGCGTCAGGTTGAATAAATCTTGAAACGAGCTGTTGATTCAACTGTTATTTACCCATGGATGACGGTCAGGAGATCAAACTGAATGACTAAGCAGAAGATTCACCTGCTATCTCCCCAGACAGGGTGGGCTTTCAAGAATGGCACAACAAGTGTCATATTTAGAAAGCGTGCTAGGACAACGGCATTGACAATTGCTCCTCGCTGTTGATTGAGACCGCCATTGCAAACGGTGACAAGGAATGAACCAGTCGGCTTGTAGGGAGCTGCAAAGGGCAAATGAGGAGATTCCGTATGACATAGTAGTAACGATAGAAAAAACTAAAACTCACGTAGCCTATGAATCAGGTCATGAAAACGTCTGCCACATTTTTTTACAGTCGTTTCTCCGGGAGGGGAATACTCTAATAAGCGTTCCTGCGAAAGAATGAGGTGAGCTGAGCAGGTGAAACAGCACAAAGAAAAAAATTATGCTTACCCTTAACTCAGCTGACCGTTGAGCGTTAGCGACATATTTGCCCAAGATTGAAGATTTCATTATATTACCATCGTACGCCTGCAAGCACTCATTATGTTACTTCACGTAGAGAATTCCACCTAGACATGCGAAAACGCAGTCTACTAACCGCTGTCATGCAGCTTCCATGAAGCAAAACTACGAGAGCAAAAATAGCGATAGATTCAAGTTGGAGCATTATTAGGACGACCTAAGGTGCGGTGGCGAGAGTGGAACAAGGTGAAATTTGCTGATGGGTGATTAGGACGAACCCAAGAACCAAGACCAACTAAGACATTGTGAGGTACTCGCCCCAGAATACCTCGTTACAACATATCAGCTTTGCAAAGAGTCTTGAATTGCACATTACTGTATTGCTTATGGAAACGCTGATGTTGAGGTTGAAGCCTCAACCATCACACCGCCGCATCTTTCGCAACTCCCATCCAATCCAGTTGCTGTTTCCTTGGCTGCTTCGCCTTTTCAGGACGCGGTAAAAGTGCAAAAATCGCAGGATTGTCTGCACATATCGAACACCGCAATCGATTGGGCAGATCTATTGGCGAAGCGTGGCGATCGCGACGTTGTAACGATCGCCACTGAAATTGGATAGATCTCCCGCGATTTGTGATCAGTCGTATTCACACACTGTCCAAAAAATTGGGTCAAAAAGCGTTCTGTAGTATGGTTACAGCGTAGAAAATAGGGTAACCCATCCGAACATCGCTCGCGACTTACGATCGATAGTCTACTTTTACTGCGTCCTCAGTGTCGAACAGCCGCATCTTCCTCGCACACACGAGTACAGGCTCCAGCACCCCCAAATATACACTCGTGACCCGAAAACCTAGTACAGTCACGTGACCGATTGCACCTTGAGTGTCAGCACATCAGTTACCACTCTAACGAAATCGTAGCATTTCTACAGTTGAGAATTACCCCACATTCTGAGGCACGCCAAGTCCAGAGATCGATAAGCTCTTTCTCTTGCACTCTATCGTCGATCTGGCCATCTGGCCACCACCACGACCCACAAAGTACCAGAGGCAATCGTTATGCGTTCCCAAAACGAGCCTTGACCAATGGAACACAACGGTTACACCTCCTGTCTACAGGTTTCTCACCACACGATTTTCGTCGGTGTTTCAAGTTGCCACGAACCCTACTATTTTCAGTACACAGTGTTTGGCAGAAATGAAATGTAGCTAGCATTCTCTCCAACAGCAACTACTATGTGTGTATCTTGTCATTTCCCAAATGTGGTCAGAATAGCTGACTAGTCTAGGTTCACAGTCTAGGTTCCTGGACGTATTCAGTAATTCCCCCCACTTGCGCAGTCATCGCTCTTCCGTCGTACAATTTTAATGATTCGCCGTTACAGTCGCGTTAGCAGTTTCCTTCATTTATACTTGAGCTAATGCTGGACGGCACTTTCTAGCGTAAGCGACGCATACTATTTATATCCTGTGGGATTTCCAAAAAACGTGCCATTAAGACTTTCCGATAGCTGATCAAGGCCGCCGAATAAAGATTCTGTGAGCGTCGGACAAGGCCTCCGATGGATGCAGTAAGCCGCAATCTCCTTCAACGGTGTCATATTGGATAGCCTTCGGTCTATTTCGTATTTTTACCCCCTTTCCTTTATTTTGTTTTCTTTTCGTTTTGTTCTTTCTTTTGTTTGCGCGACGTACTGAATCGCGCCCTTTTCTCACTTTCGGTAGGCTCCTAATGCGCATTTACTACCAACTAAAAGCGCGAGGGTAGCTCTGCATGGTTCTCCTGCTGGCACGTGAAGGAACATATGAACATTTGAGTGATTGTTGACGTGCTTGCTCCCTTTGAACCTTCTTGTTTTTTGCTAACTCAGTTCTTCCCATCGTTTATTGCCGTGGCAGGGCCGGAGACGCCATTTCACTGGAAGGGTACTTTCCACCACGAACCCAGGTACCAAGTCCCTGATGTCCTTGCTCAACCCAGGAGTAGATCCCAGTGCACTGTGTCGCGCCCCTTTTACAGCGTATCAGATGGCCCCTTAGTTACCCGGCTTGATTAGGCTTGAGGATGAGATCTTGTTAGTTCGTGCACATCCATGTCATTTGTGCGTCTGCTTCGGATTTATGGTCCCCCCTCCGTCCATCAACGTCCGTGAATCAGCCCAATCCGTCTGCCAGCCTTCCCAATCTCCACGCCAGCATCATTTTCGGATGTGTTTGGCATGGGCAAGAATCTGGGCTCGGGGCAGTTCGGTTCGGCACAGCCTATGTATGCCTGGATAGGGCCGCAGGACGACTCAGAAGTCATTTACTAACGCCCCTCCTCCATCAACCCCCTCCGTCCACCAACCTCCACCATCTCCACGCAGCATCCTTCTCGAATGTGTTTGACATGGGGGAAGAAGCTGGGCTCGGGACAGTTCGGCACAGCCTATGTGTGCGTGGAGCGGGCCACAGGAAAGACTTGTGAGTCGACTCAAAAGTCATTCATCAATGTCCCTCCCTCCATCACCCCTCTCCGTCCACCAACCTCCCCAATCCCCACGCCAGCATCCTTCCCGGATGTGTTTGACATGGGGAAGAAGCTGGGCTCGGGGCAGTTCGGCACAACCTATGTGTGCATGGAGCGGGCCACAGGACAGGCGTACGCGTGCAAGTGCATTCCCAAGAGCAAGCTGCTGACGGAGGGAGACGTGGAGGATGTGAGGAGGGAAGTAGCAATACTGTACCACGTGCAGGTGCGTGGGTGTTTTTCTGCACCGTCATCACCTGCCTGCCTGTGTGCTTGATATGTACGTCAATGTTCCAGTTTTAGATTCTTCACAACGAGAAGTGATGTCTATCAGGCAACAGTGTGTTGCTGTTTCCTGATAACGAGTTCTATCAGGCTTTAACTTGACGATTCTTCTCGTGTTGCTTTTCTGTGCTCCTTTTTGGGATTCAGAATCAACCTAACATTGTGAACATCAAGGATGCGTATGAAGACAAGGATCACGTGTACATTGTGATGGAGCTGTGCACGGGAGGAGAGCTGTACGACACGATTATAAAGAGGATAGAGGCCAGAGGAGTGCCTTACTCGTGAGTACCCATGCGGGTCTGACCTGGGTGGGCTTTTCATGCACTGGAATACTCGTGTGAGTGGAAGGGAAGTTCATGCATGCAGACCTACAAGGAATTAATGTCTCTTCTCTTACCACGTTGCAATGCCTCTCCAGAAGCTGAATCTCGTGCCTGCTCTCTCTGTTAGAGACGCAAAGGAAGCAGTGCAAGTGGTGGTGGCGTGGTGGGTGGGTGCATACCTTCTGATGCGAGCTTGTTCGCCCTCCCTCCTCGCCCTTGCCCTCTGCTCTGCTCGCCCACCCCCACCACAGGGAGAAGGACGCAGCAGAGATGGCGAAGGTGATAGTGCGAGTGGTGGAGTGCTGTCACTCGCTGGGCGTCGTGCACCGGGACCTCAAGCCCGAAAACTTCCTCCTCTCCAGCAGGGACGAGGCCACTGCTGAGCTCAAGGCCACGGATTTCGGCCTCTCTTGCTTCTACAAAGGTTAGTGGGTGGTTGCTCGTTTTACAATTTCGTTTGCTCAAGGGATCTTCCTTTTCACCCATTTCCAGCAGTTCCCCCATTCTCCCCCTCTCCCCAACAACCCTCCGTTTGCCTTCCCCTCAACAACCCCCCCTCCGCCTCCCACCAACACCCCAAGTTCGCCTCCCCTCAACACGCCCACGTGAAGCCTCCTCCCCCCTTTTCCCCCCGCTTTCCCTTCCAACAACCCCCGTTCCT